ATGAAGGAAAGGGATATTTGTATAATAGTCAATCAGTCTCTAAAACCATTCAAGCAATGTGATGTTGCTAGTGGTAGGGCAAATAAGATTTTAGGTTGTATCTGCAGAAATATTGAATACAAGTCTAAAGAGGTAATAATTTCATTGTACAGGTCACTTGTTAGGCCACATTTGGAATATTGTGTTCAGTATTGGGCTCCTTACCTTAGGAAAGACATTGAATTGTTGTAAAAGGTTCAGAGAAGGGTTACTAGAATGGTGCCTGGGATAGAGGGCTTGTCATACGTGGAGAGGCTGAATTCTCTCAGATTGTTTTCTCATGAAAAAAGAAGAGTTAGGAGGGATTTGCTTGAGGTGTTTAAGATTGTAAAGGGGATTGATAGTGTTGATGCATCATCTTTTTTGATATTTAGTAGTGAGAATAGTAGGACTAGGGGACATAAATATAATTTTTGGTAAAGTAGGAGTTATCTTCAGCTAAGACAGTTTCATTTTTCTAAAAGGGTGGTTGGCCTTTGGATGTTGTAGAGGCAGTAAATTTAAGTGATTTTAAGAAAAAGCTTGATAAATATATGAATGATAAGGGCTGGCTTTAAGATTTTTTTTATATTTATTTATTTATTAGTTTAGAGGATGGAAGAGCCAATATGGACTAATAGATCCCATGTTCTCCCAAACATTGTTATGTTAGGGGATCTGATTGAGGTGTTAATGCTTGTTAAGGGAATTGAAGTTTTGATGCATCATTTTTTTTCATACTTAATGATGAGATGGTAGGACTAAGGGACACAACTATACATTTTGGTAGGGCAGAAGTCATATTCAGCTAAGACAGTTTTCTGTTTCTAACAGGATGGTTGGCCTTTGTTGCTACTAAATTTGATGGGTGTATTAAACTTAATGGAATTAAAAAGAAGGCTTGATAAAGTTTTGAATAATAAGGGCTGGCTTTGAGTGTTTTATATACAAGTTTAGTATTGTAGGTTGGTTGGCCTAGATAGATCGACATGTACCTTGTTGTCCTTAAACTGTTATATTTTATTAATTTTGCCATAAAACATAAGAATCTGTTAATGAAATTTAATTGTCCATCGTGAAAATACATTTCATGAATTTTATTGCATTTATTGAACTTGTAGGTATGTTTGAATTTCATTGCAAGTTTTCTTATTAAAACTGGCAACTTTTGTCCTTTTTTTTTATTGTACCACCATGTTTATAGAATATGTAGCTGCATAAGCAAATTTAAGCAAGCCAGAGTTATGAAATGTGTTATAAAAGTTAATTTATGGGAATGGCTTAAGTCTAATAAATTACTTGAAATTAGAAATAACAAACAGGCCTGCATTCATTTGTAAATTGATTAAGCATTTACTCCAACTAGTCATGTTATTAACATCATTCATCTTATATGTGTGATAGATACTTGTGGCTTTTTTAAAGTTATGTGAACTTAAATTTTTTAGAGAATTGGTCATTAGCACACACAAGTATGTTGTAACACTCTTTGTAACTGAAGTTGCATTAGCTTTCTTTTAATTTAATTTTAGGTTTGCCTATTCAACTGAGTGGAAACTTGTTTGGATTAATTTTAGGGCTAGACAGAGTTAAACTTTTCTTCTGTATAATATTGAATAATTCATACTCTTGTGTTATTTATGTTTGATTTGGTGGTATAATCTAAAAATAATAGCTGTCTCATTTGATACTCATTGGCTTTGCATATATAGCCATATCGTTCTTATAATTTAATACTGTTTCTAACCTTTGATTTCCAGGTAAATTAACAACATTTTATTTCAACCTTCATTCACAATTGTGGCTTCATCAAGGCTTGTAAAGAAACTGATAAATATGAAAAGATACGTTAACTTATTAAATCACTTTTGATGTTACATATTTTGGAAGTGTGTATAGAAATGGAACGTCAAAGTGATGAAGTTACAGTGCTGAAATGTAGGTTGATATAAAAGTGTTTTTTAATTAGTTTGGAAAGTAAGGGTCATTTTTTTCTAACTTTATGATACAAAAATGTCTAAATCCCTCCATTATTCACTATAAGTTTTGAAAAAATAAAATGTTATAATACTGGATTATAATTTTCAAATGTTAGAGTTACTGATATAAAATACCAAATCCAACCTGTGTGTATGTTTTCTTTCAAAAGTATAGAAAACCACATGTACTAAATATACAATGAGCATATCTTTGAGTGGAGCTCGTTTTCTATGGTATTACAGTCTGAAGTAATCTTTTAACTAGATTACAAGCTAAAGTGGAGCCAACTACTTAGAATTATGAGGAAAAGTTGAAATATTATTGTGTGTGTAGGTCTGGAAAATCCGAAATTTTGCCTGGAAACTTTTTATAACGTCCATCATTAGCTGATTAAATTTTTGCTCTTTGGAACATTATTATTATATTGTGGTTTTTGTGTAAGATAATTACTTTATAGCTGTGGTAAAAAATCACATAACCAAATAATAAAGTAAATCTTCATTGATTTTACTTTGGACATTAAAATTAAAAATGTAGAATCAGTCTTAGCACAGTTCTAGTCGATGTCAGAAATGCTCACTATAGAGTGCTGTCTCTACTGGAAGAACCTGCATGAATAACTTCACTATATCATGTCTGCTATTTTAAATGCATAATATTGTTTTTCATTTTAAGGTTTGTGACCTGTGTAATATTTTATCTTAAGTCTGTTAGTAAAAGTATAGATATTTTAAATACATTAATAACAATTTGAATTTACAGATCTTGAAAAGGCATGGTCATCAGTTGGGGTGCTGAAAGAGCAGGTATGTTGCTTGCAGCCCGATAGACAGTATTGGGTGTATAATGATTTTTATATGAGAATCTAGGTACATTGTATTCACAAGTAGTTTTAGATTACAGATTTATTCTTTAAATAGTTTTTTTTGTAATATTTTAGGTAAATAAATGTAGAATAATTATTATGAGGGTTCTGTAGTGGTTTAGTAAGCTACTTTCACAATAAGTTCATATTTGATTTTGTAGTTAATGTCAGAATGCTAGATCTACTTGCACATTGTGACAATTTCTAGTAATTGTATCAATAGTCCGAGGAACTGATCTTTACACTAACTGTGGTTGGTTGTTATTGTGTATGAAATACATTTTGTAATGTTATTGTAAAACTTGAAAGAGTTGTAAGATATAACTAATTTCTGTTTTCTTCATATTATTGTAAAACATTTTTATGTGATACAGTTGTATAATGTAATCAGTTTCTGTTTACTTATTATGATTATAAAACATTTTCATGTGACACAGTTACATGATATAATCAATTTCTGTTTACTTCATATTAGCATAAAACATTTTCACTAGAAAGAGTTGTATGATATAACCGATTTCCATTTTCTTCATTCTAATCTGCAGCTTGCAAAGACTCAACAAAAGTTAGACAGAGCATCAAAAGGATATACATACAGTGATCCTAGCCCATCTACTTTTGTGTCTTCATCTATGCACTCAGGGAAACCTTTAAGAACCTTAAAGACAATAGAACCTCTTACGTCTTCTAAAATGAATCAGGGATTCATGGTGATTATATTTTGCTGTACTTTATTGTAAAGAGTATGTAAACATTTAGTAATCAATTGGTTCTTTAGAGCCTTTTAATGAAAGTAAGTGTGTTAGATATTGCTGAACTAAGAATTACACAGGTCTGTGATTTTAAACTTTATAAAAGTTGTTTTGGTTTTAATAACCAATTTTCCATAATTCAGATATGCAGATTTCAAAAATATATTACATTTTTTCTATCACATATAGATTTTTTGTATATATCGGGAAAAAAAAAATTACTCTTACCAAAACTCTTTTTTTGGTCACCTATACCACATCCACAGGCTTTGGCAGTTGATGCATTTCAGCCAGGATTGGTCACACAAATACCTTTATGTGTACCCTCCAATTTGATTGCTTCATTGGGTGATTTCTCTTGTCCACTCCTTGTTGAGTCCTCCTGATTGCATCCTATTGGTCAGAGCAAGGTTACAACATCTGCTCTTATCACCTCCTGTCCCTCTTCCACTCCCTCCCTTTTTTGTCAACTCAATGCCACATTCTACATCCCAATTTCTCTGTCATGTGTCTTCATGCCTGGCTTTTGTCTGGTCTTTGGCGAGACGATCCTGTTTCACACCTTGAGTCACCTTCTTGTTAGCTAGTTCCTTATGGCCATCTTCCATGGAAGTATACCAGCGTAAATGGAAAGTCTTACTGCTGACAAGCTTTCTGTGGCTCGTGTGGCAGAATTTCTCACCTGGCTCCTCGACTGTGGGTGTTTGGTCTACTTGATTTACGGATATCTGGTGGCCCTATCCCATACCTTCCGTTTTTTCCGACACCATATGATTTTAACTTCCCCTGTTCTTACTGTGCTCTGCATTCCTTCCAGATTTGGAGACCTCCAAAGCGTCATGCCCTTCAAGATTGGGACATTAATGTGATCCTCCATGCCCTCACTTTACCTCTGTTTGAACCACTTTCCTGGTGCTTCTTGTTTCATCTTTCCCTTAAAACATATTTCATTCTTCTCTTGGTCTGTGGACATTGACGGTGTGATTTGTTTGCCATTGATGTTTCACGTACCCTTTATCACCCTACCTGTCTACTCCTTTATCCCGATCATTCCTTTTAACCTAAGACCTCGGCAGCTTGGGGGGATTGTTCATCCTTTTCTCCTATTTCGCTTTCTTCTATATTCCATCTTTACCCTAGACCAAATCTGGATAGGCTTCTGTGTCCAGTCAGGGCCTTTCATTGTTATATAGCATGTACGGCTATTTTTTGGGGTATGCGCAACCAACTTTTTATTTCCTGCCAATCCTCCTTACTTCATGATCTTTCACTTTCTACCCTTCTATCTTTCTAGTTCATTTGGCCTACTCTTCTTCCTCCCATACCTTGTTTCTTGTTTTCTCCCATCAGATCTGACATCTCACCTTTTCTCTTGCTTCTCGCCTTCGTTGTCCGTTGGAGGAGATTCTATAATTTGGAATGTGGACCACTCCCAGTATGTTCATCTGCCACTATCTTCATCATATCATGCTTTCCTCTGCATCAGGGTTTTGTCTACCACCTGTGGCTATTCTCCAGACTTTGGTGTGACTTTAAGTGGTAAGTTTTTCATTTCCTTTTTCTCCCTTTTTATCACATGGATCCTGCCTTGTGGTGAGTAGTGTCTGACCAGATATTCTTTAACTCTAAATCTGCTCTGTCAACCATGTTGACTCATACTCTCTTGTCCAGGGCTTCACACACTCACCATCTCGATGAAATGTTCCACAAGATTGCTTGATGGTTAACTACCTCGCAATAATTTGCTTCATAAATATACCCGTTTCAGACAGTACCACCCATGGACTACATGGGTAAAGCAGAAGGGGATTGCTGCCCATTCCTGCCATGCCTTAAGTGAATAACATGGTATGGTTTGTTTTCAAAATAAAGTTTCATGGTCACCCATTACACTGTCTCCAGTGGTGATGTTCCTCTGGGCTCTCAACTGCATTGTCACCCTCCTTTCCTCGAGTGGTGTATGGGAGTCCTTACCACTTCCAGTTCCAATCCACTGGGGTGGTTGACCATGAAGACACCCTCCTAAATGCATTCCACAAGGAAAAGGTTGAACCATTCAGTTGAGAGTAGGGAGGTGGTGTTCTGCTGGTGTAGGTGCAACATGGCTTCCAGAAGAGTTGAGCTGTCACCTTGCTGGTTGATGTGGCCTCCTGATCATGTTTACACAACAAAACTGGAGTTGAACCGTCTCCTTACTGGATGATGTGGCCTCCTGCTAACATTTACACAACCACTTGAGCTGAGCTGCCACCTTCTAGTTGACGTGGCCTACTGATACCTATTCAACACTCGCTGGAGTTCAGCCGTCACTTTACGAGATGACATGGCCTCCCGCTTCCTTTTCCATAAACACTGGAGTTGAGCCGTCGCAATTGCAATTCACCTTTTCGATTGGGAGACCTCATCCTACCTTTGTGTGTAAGTCGGTTCCAGCGTAGAAGTTTTGGATTAAAGTGAACCAATCAACATAAGTCCTCACACGAGTTTGGGTTATCTATCTTCCTTCCCCAATTACTCTGTCCATGTCTTTGGTCACAGTGGTAATGTGTAGGATTGTTCCAGTGCTATCCTTGGCTATTCCTCATTCTCTTATTTTGGAGATGTTATTGCCTTTGGATGGCTCTGGCCTGTGGCATGGTTGTAGGAGTTGATTCTATGTGATAGACATTCTTTCGATAAATCGGTGTTGATCCTCGTGGCATACCAAGAAATTGTTGCGGGTCGTAATATCTGATTCTTGTGTTTCAGGTGAGGATGGTATGATCCTCATGCTAACATTGCTTGGATGTCAGTACCCTGCGAGGAGGTTTTGGATGTAGTTGACTTACCAAGTATGGTCCGCTGCACCCTAGCCACTCTACACCTCACAATTTCCGCATTTGTGCATTACACAATCTACACATTGGCGAAGACTCAGAAGTGTTGTGATTCCCCTCTTCTGATCTTTGGATCTATATCTCTCATTGTCAGGGGTATACTTCGGATGCTTTCAGGAGTATTTCTTTCGTTCCCTCACACCGGTCCCTCCTCCTTCTCAATATGGGATTCTAGCTAATCTTGTGAGCAGAAGTAAGTACTATATCGGAAGTTATAATTTTCCTGTACTGAAAATGTATATCCAATTGGTACTTACCTCCTTACACATTTCCCATCCTTCATGCCCATTTTTTCGGTGCTCGTACCTTCTGTGAAAGTTCGAAGTGAAGGTTTGGTAGAGGAGTGTACAGGGAGTCATTTGTGTCACATGAGCATGTCATGCTACTATTGGTTAAGAGATGATGCAAGATGATTTGCATGAGAAACATGTTGGAATATATTAATTCCAACAAGACGGGAGTGCAAGGCTTTTGGCATTATAAAAAAAAAAATTACATATAGATGGCAGCAGTGAACGAGAATAGCTAATCTTGTGAGAGGAGGTAAATACCTATCTGAAATACATTTTCAATATAGTAAAATTATAATGCCAGTGGTTGTTAACATTTTAAGCACAACCAAATGTGACCCAATTTGAATGAAAATGATTCACTTGTGTAAAGTACATATGACCTTTTATGAAAAATCTGTACACAATGGAGAAAAATGGATATCATTTTTGGATTCAGCGTACTAGAATTACTGTAGAACATGTAAAAAAGTTCCAGACAAAAACCATCACAGGCCTGTATTATTTAGAGAAAGTAATTTTCACAGTTGTCACTTCATGTTTTGTCACAGTTTACCATTGCACTCTATTGTGACATGAAAAAAGATTACACAATACTTGCAAACAATTTATATCAAAAAATATAATTGAAAGTAAACATTCAACACAACAATATGTCTCAAATTTCAATTGGTTTGTTTTCCATTTTGTTACCTACAACATTGGACACCAAACCTGTATTAAAATGGTTTGTATTGTCATCACTGGCTTAGGAACACTACTTGGTACATTTGGCCTTGTCATTATGTATAGATTGTTGTTGATTGCTTAGACAGTGTACATGCTATACTATTGAATTTATACAAACTAAAGGGCAAAACAGTTTCTTTTGAACCTAAGGAAATAAAACTTAGATAATATAAAAATTTGAATTATAAACCACATTTTGATGCAGATTTTATTGAAATGCATTAATAATAAAATTGTTTAATTAAGTTTTCCATGTAATATTTTAAAACATTTTGTGAGACAGCTAGGATCATATACAAAGGGTTAAACTGTTTTGGTGTTTCATATTGCCACCTCAGTTAACACAGGCTGTGCAAATTTAAACTTCATAAAAGATGTTTTAGTTTTAAAAGCAGATTTTCCATAATTCATCTACCCAAATTTTGAAAATAATATTCATTTTTTTCTGTCATGTAAGGATTTTTTACAGATCGGAAAAAAAAAATCTTACTTAGATCAAAATTATTATTTCATTTACCACAAT